AAATCTGTTCGGAACCACACATTTGGAAAAAGTCCTGATGTTTCGTAGAAAACAGGATAATCACCAGTGTTTCCCTTTCCTAGATAAACAACAGTTATGCGTGTTGATATTATATTTGAACAATCACGCCTAAATGCTAAATATAATTCATTCAAGGACATAAAAGACAAAGTGTTTGCTTTTACTCTAGTAAAAATCACCCATCATTTAGTCACCAAATAATTCAATAGTGACTAATAACTTCAAGAGTTCTACCATGATTAACTTGCTATTGCATGAAATATAGCCAACTCTGAAGTTGAATTGGCAGAGCAGAGGAAAATAGCTTTTGCTAACTGTGCAATCAAACGATCCAGGTCCTTAATATGGCAAACCCTTTAAGGCTTGCAAACCTTCACACTTACTTAGAAATCCCACATAATGCTGGTAGAGTTTAAAAAAATAGACGTGCATGGGGTTTTCATGGTAAAATTATTTCAATTCTTTGATTGTTGAAGGGAAGGAAACTTTATGAAAGCATAACTGACACCAGTAAATTAAACTATTGATTGCCCTTTAAATGCCATCAGCTCTGCTCCTTACATGAGAGTACACACAGAATTGATCTCGAAATTTAAATTAAGTGTTTTATAGCCAAAATCATTAATCTGACAATTAACATTATCCCTTTTGGATCACTCTGCATCTATTTCATCTCATGGCTTCCATTTCTAAATCATAGCCTAATTTCACATTTACCCACATCTCTAATCAGATGTTCGTTCTATTGACCTCAACTGAAGGCTACTCTAAATGAAATCTCTGCATAACTGTAAATTTAACTTATTAAAATGTCTTGGAATTGAAGAGCTCATAATTATTGTACATAATAATTGAACCGAAGTGCTTCAGTTCACAGTCATTTCTGTTGGTGCTACACTTCCAAACAGGAGTTAACTTCATGTGTATTTAAGTCTTCAAAAAGCCAATGATATTACAACTAAAGTAGTTGTGCTGTTCATAACCCTAAATTGCTGGATAAGTGGATAAATACTGGATTAAAATATTCTGCAGTTTGTTTTTATTCAGGTCACTTTTTTTGTCAGTTTCTAACCTCTGTATTTTCCTATTATTATTTTATTATTTTTATTTCCTTCTTAGGAGTACTATCTCAGTTTGCTGTATGTTTTTAAATAGTTTTCATGTGCTTACTTAGCTCAAGAAATTGATCTACTTAACACCCAGAAACTTATTATTTCACCTTAAACAGGACAGACTGACCTTGTTTGGAGAAGCATAACATAAGATAAGAAAGTATTCACTGATACTTAATTAGGAAACTTTTATATTCCTAGTCAATTAAATAAACATCTACAATGCATTTCAGCACATTGCATATTTGTTTAGTACAACTTTCTTCATGCACACAATAATTTAATAACAATTAAAGCATATCAAAACCTCTTACTTGCCACTGCTTTCGGAGTATGCAATGCTCTCTTTGAACAAGGTAGCAATAAGAATAGTTAAGAAATACATGAAAAAATTTGTTATATGAAAATGGCAACACTATTCCCTTGGACTGAGAATAGAAATACATAATGAGTAACATAACAGCAGGGGAGAGGAAGTGAGATATACTGTATGCACATGTATTACAATGCCACTGTTAAATTGTACCAGTCCAGTCCACTCGCTTTTTTTCAGCTAATTCCATTTTGCTTTATTTGTCCACCATTTTGAATAACAATCCCTATCTTTTCCAGTTCTGCAATCATTAGTCTGCTATCAGATCTCCCTAATCAACACAGTTCACATCTCTTTTTAATCAAAGAGGCATAGACAATAAGCCACCGCTTTCTAAGTAAAACCATTATGCCTTTCAAATGTAGAGTTCATCTGGCTGCAATTTCATGGCCTACGTTAAGAGTTACATAAAAATGAACAATGCACATTTCTAGAAAACCTTTGAAACTGGACTTCAAGGGGGTGTTAATCATTGCTATGAATTTCCTGTTATTTGAAAGCAAGGCATGAGCCCTATACAAAACAAACCGGAGGCCGTATTTCCCAGCTACAGGTTGGGTTTACTACACTTTTCTCATGACATAATCTGAGCAAAATAATCTATTCAAACCTAAACTTCTGGTTACAACAAGGCCATATTAGAATGGGAGCAATGCTAGGGTGTCATTTAATCCCCAATAATTAGAAGATTTAGGTAACATGTTGAGCAAAACTGCAAAGGCATGCTTCTTTCCTCCACATTCCCATACTCCTAAATTACTTGGAAACTTTCCTAAGTTCATCTTGCGGTAATAGCTAACGTTTCTTGTCTTCCTGACAGCTCTGTTCATCAGATGCAGGCTGAGGAGGATCTTTTAAAAATTGTCTTCCTTTGCTTGTCCCTTCCATCTGGGAACTCTGCCTCCTGGACTCCACGAAGGACATTCACACAAGCTCACATAATCACCAAGTACTGTATGACAAAAGAGCTGAGCTAGGAAAGTTGGCAGCAGAACAAATCTATCAGGAGAAAAAAACGGACCCCCAAATGTCTGAGCAATTTTGTCAAGAAAGCCATAAATCCATCACAAATCCTCAGAAACAAAGAGAACATTTGATGATTTGGTTTTTAATGTAATTTAATTCTTTTTTTAGGATTTAGTTTTGTTCCTTCTTAAATTCTCTTGATAGCAGGCTCTGTAAAACATTGAAAAACAAGCTCTCCCATAAAGAAAGTCTATTGCAACAATTAGTTAGTACCATTTGTCATTACTTTTAAAAGCAGTGAGTGCTCCTAGATATTTTGTTTAGCCAAGCTCCTATTTCCTTTGAGATATTTTAATCCAAAAATATTTAACATACAAACCAAATGTTGATAAAAACATCAGTTCACATAATCTGAAACAGAGTAGAAAATTCCCCATTGATTTTTTTTCTCTCTCTATACTTTTACTGAAATAAGGGGGGGGGGGCAACAGTGTAAATAAGGAGGAATACAAATTAGGTTTTAGGACAGGTCAAGGAATACAAAATTAAACCACTTTTAATTGAAACATTAAACTTTATTTAAATCACAGCTACTATATAAATCCAGCCACTTCTACAGAATGTAATTTACTTTATTTTAACTTGTATTTCTGCAACCTGTTGTACATACTGTATTAGTCTTAGGCCTATGGTTTTTGATGCCCTGCAGTTCACCTCCACTATGCGCCACATACTTCCACTCAAAAATAATATTTGCATCAGAAGATGAGATACAACTTTTTCCTTAACTTTTTGAGCAAAACTGCCTTAGAATGCTTAGTGAGTGTCTCCAACTTTCTATTCCCTTCTCTCTCACCACCTATCCTACATAACCCTTCTCCATTTTCAGTTTGAAATGATAGAACTCCTCCTTGTGGGACAGGATCACACAATTGAGCAAATATCTGTTCATGAGGCCTTGGGATGCTAACTTTTGTTCTCATAAATTTGGCTTTGGTTTAGAAAGGAAGGTGAAAAGGGGAGGAGAAAGGGCCACAGATCAACGTGTGCCATCAAGAGAAGGAACCAAAGGGAGCAAAGATTAAAAGGGCCAGGAAGCAGACCAGCTGGAGCCAGAGATGGCTAGGTTGGAAACTGATCCCGATCTCGGCCGTTGCAGCGATTTCAGTCACATTCAGACGAGTAAATAAGTGACATTTTCCCTCACTCCCGATTTAATTGCATTTTTCCAGAGAAGTTCCCGATTTTAAAACGCGTCTCGGTCGGGAAATTCTTGAGCGGACTTCTTCGAAGTTGGCTTAAAGGTGCCCTCAAGCTTTCTTCAGACTTGGGATAACGGCATTCCCAAGCTAAGAGCGCGGAAGCCCGAAGCCGAGCACCAGAGTTGCAGTGCTTCCTTCCGCCCAGCAGAGTTTATACTGCGCACCCGGAGGCGTTTGCCTCTTGGCGCCCGCGTCGACCCAAGAAGGCGCTAGAGAGGAACGTCGGGAAGTGCTCCTCGCCGTTTGAACTGGGCTGCAGAGGTTGAGAAAGCGGGAGGACCGCCGCTTTGATCTGCCACCGCTTCAATGGCCCGCGATGCGCAAAAGGGAGAGAATGGGGGTTATTTTTTCTGCCTCCACCCACCCCTCCACCTCGCAACGATTCTGGGGAGTGCGGAGGGCACAGGACTACTGCGAGTCCCCACATCCAAATTGCCACCCAGCATCGCAAGGCGGGCAAAAAAAAATAAAAATAAAAATGCGACGCTTCGTTTTAAGAAACGGATCCCAAGCGGCGACTTCGGGATTCCGTTACAGTTTTGCTTTCTTTCTGGAGCAGATAAGAAGACTTCTGCTCTCAAAGCAGAAAGCAGTTCGTTTCCTCCCCTCCATACCAACCGATGCCAAGCCTCCTTCGAATATTTTCTTCTCCATCTAGATGCATTTAAAACAATCTCTTTCTCTCTCTCTTTCATTTCTCTCTTTCATTTCTTTCTTTCATTCACTTTTTCTTTCATTCTTTCATCCATTCATTCTCTCTCTCTTAAAATAGGGAGAGTAGATTGCAGAAGATACGACGTTCAGAGACCTCCTTCGAGATTCCGCGGGGCAACGGGCCTTTCAGAGGCTAATTTAAGAAGAAGGCGCGTGGATAGAGCAATTAACGGGCAAAGGGAAGGTCCTTTTTGCATGAGTAGCCCCTGGCCACTAAAGCACTCGCTATCAAGCTAGTAGCAATTACTTGGGAGGGGCGCGGGGAAAAAGAAAGGAGAAGGCGCTTTCTTAACTCAGACTTTTCAAAGGGAAGAAAAAGAAACAGATCGCTGTGCGCTATGTTGAGACAGAAAGTTAATCGACTTGCACCCCACCACGCCGCACTTTGGTCCACGCCGCGGCTCCAACTCGATCACTACGAGGGGGGGGGGGAAGACGATGAGGCCGAAAAAGGCAAGAGATCCCCGTCTTTAAATAGGGTTCACTCCCCACCGACGGCGCTAATTTCAACCAAAGCGAGACGGGACGCCCTATCTCCCAAGTCCGGCATACCTGTACCAGGTGAGTCCTCGCTCGTAGTTGCGATCAAAAAAATGAGGCTCAGCGCCCACCGCTCGAACGTCCGGGTGGACCCGCAGGAACTCAAGCAACGCGCGAGTCCCACCCTTCTTCACGCCGATGATCACTGCCTGGGGCAGCCGCTTCGTCCCAGAGCCATTCAGGAAACTGGAAATGAAGCTGGGGGAATCCGGAGCCACTCCGTTGTTGCTGCTGCTGCTGCCGCCACCACCCAACTCTTCGTCGTCTTCGTCTTCGTCGTTCTCCGGATCGGCTCTCAGCTGGACCTTAGCCGTCCGGGCTGGGAGCAGCAGCTGGTTGAGTTCCGGACCGGGCGCTTTCCGAGCTGACGGCAGCGAAGAGCCCAGCAGCATCAGCCCCGGCGCGGCTGAAGTGCACGATCCGGCGACGCAAGAGTAGACCATGCAAAGCCACAAGGCGAGCATGATGAAGAGGAGAAGCAGCAGCCACCTCCTTCGCCCCGGCGGGAGCAGCGGCGACGAGGCAGGGGGGCCGGGGGCATCGGGGAGACGGCCGCCGATCAGGCGCGGCTGGCCCATAGGCAGGAGCCCGCGGGCGGTAACCCCGGGAACATGATGCGTGGGGGACCGGCCGGCACGGGTCAGCAGCGCAGCATCGCTCACAGCCTTCGCAGCCCAGTTCCGAGCCGACGAGTGGCGACGCACCAAGGCGCCTTTGCCGGCCAGGCTGGAGCTCAGGAGGGCGGAGTACAGGCGCGCCTGACTGGCACCCTTCGGAGCCTATAAGAGCAGCCCGCCGCATGGTAATTAGCCCCCCTTTTGTTGATCAAAAGCAGCCAATGGTGAGCCGGGTCTCCCCCCGTAGGGCGGGGAGCGGAGGACTGCGGGAGGCGATTAGCCATTCTTATTGGCTAATGAGCCGTTAAAGAGCCCGGGGAGGCGAAAAGGTTACGGAGCTGCGAGGCCGAGAGGCTATTTGAGTTGAGGCTTCGCCGGTGGAAGCTTGCGCTCCTGTGCCGGCGCCTTCGCTCTTTTTTCCCCCTCCGGTACTGCCAGAGAGGCGAGGATGTGGCTGAAGTTGTCCAGGCTCCGCTAGACTGTGCTTGAAGGCGGCGGCGGAGAGCGATCCGAGTCAGCGGGCGGCGGCAGCGACCGCGAGCAAAGCCGCTTCTTTGACTAGATGGCGCCACGTGGGAAAGCACAACTGTGCTGTGGCCAAAAACGAACCGTGCAAAGGCGGGGTCGGATGGGAGTGGGAGAAGAGGCTTTTTTCCCCGGCAGCTGGCCGGTCAGCCCTCTTCCATTGCGAATCCGCTGAGGACTGAGCGCTGCCTAAGCCTGTAGGCGCGTCCTCGCCCCTCACCCCCGCGCATCGTGGCGGTCGTCTCACAAAATAGTGAACCTCGGTTGAGCCTAGGTTGTCGCGCGGAACCACTTTTGGCCAGGGGTTTACGATCCTCCGCGATCCTGAGCAAAAGGGTCTCCCTGAGCCCCGTCCCGCTTTGTTAATTAAGGCTGCAGCGATTTAGGAGTAAGACTGTGGCTCTCAACGACCCTGTTCCCAGGCATTTGGTGGACCCAGATTATTGGGAGAAAAAATGCTGACTGTAAACCGCTTAGAGAGGGCTGTGAAGTGGCATATAAGTCTAAGTGCTATTGCTATCTTAGCAGTTCTCTTTAAGCTTGGTGAGTTTGGTTAAGTCGAAGTAATTAGGGTATTTAAGCAAAATTTTGCATTTTCTTAGTTACGAAGTTAGGGCTTATGTGGGAGGTTTCAAAGCCTCCCTTTCATTGGGACTGCTTGGAACGTTATATTTCGGGTGCTAGACTTTGTCTTCCATGTAACGGGAGGAACCATCGCCCCATCTCAAGAGTTGCGCTGCATATTAAGCTTCCTCTGGAGCCCAATATAGTCCTGGCACCACCGCCAAGGGAGACTCCCTGCTTCCTCCTCCCCTACTCATTTTTCCACAGACTCGGTGGTTGGAATTTGGTAGATTCGGAATTCCACCCACCCATCCCCTTGCTGAAAAAAAAAGGGAGGAAGAGAAACAAGCGTTTCTAAGTTGCTGAGCCAGAAGGGCAGCTTAAGGTCTATACCCCCCCCCGCCACACACACACACATACACAGAGACACACACACACACAAACTATTCAGAAGTAGAACCTACCTATCGACTTCTGAATAGTCAAGTTCAAGAAGGTTTAGTAGGACCTTCTTTAAGGTCAAGGTTAGCCTGGTAGAGATTCTCCGAGATCCTGAGCCTTCCTTTACTCCAGGAAGCCCTATTGGTCTCTGCCCTGGTCTCCATAACTGCCCCCGAAGTTCTGCGCTGCTTCTTGTCTCCCCTCTTGTAAAGCCTGCTCGCCTCCCACCTTGGAGCTCTAGCCATTCTCCCAGGTATTCAATTCAATTCAATTCAATTTATTAGATTTATAGGCCGCCCAATCCCGGAGGTAATGTAGGAGGCGTTCGTTTGGGCCTCCCCAACCCACAGACAAGAGACATAAGGCAAAATCGCCCGACATGGAGTGGGGGAAAGGCGATTTGATGCTTCTGAATGCATCTACCCCTCATTGATTCTCCTAGAGCTCCCTCAGTCCCCAAACCTGAATGTCTGTTATTTCTTCTCTTCCTCATCTTTTGTCGCAGGCCAAGGTCTCTTATTAATAGCTCCTACCTGTCGACCTTCTGGCAGGTGAAGGTTCCTTTTCTCTTACATTGCGTCTGATTCCCATTTTTAATTGAATCCAGTGTTTTCTAGTATCTGAGATAGTTTCCCCCCTCCCCACGCATTTTGCAGAGGTGCATCGTCCCAAACGGAGAAGATAGTTTGTTCCGCTGAAAAATATTGTTTAGATAGTAGTAGCCAGAGCAATAAACCTGATCCGCTGAGACCTAAGGTCTCATAGCTTTTGCGCGCCATTCATGAAGTTCCGTTCGCTTCTCTCGAGTTCAGCTCCTTTGCTAAAAGCCGGGATGAAAGTTTGTTGAGGCCATTTCTTCGGTATCTGATTTAGCGGGTATTCCAGTGTCACATCGGTATCGGGTCTGTCTTCCTCGCCCCAGCGGCTGAATTGACACGTTAAAATGCTATGAAATCTTGGCTCTTTGGATCAAGTGAAGTCAAGATAAACCGCGAGAGGCGGTCAATTTGTCTCCAATAACACAGGAGAGGAACTTCACAGGTGGAAACAGTTAAATAAAGCGGATTTGGAAGTGAAAGAGAAGAGTCATAAAAAGCGCAGGAAAAGTCCCGTGGCTGAATCCGAGACATTAAATGCTTATGGAGATTCTCCATTCTGAAGAAGAAAACTAGCCGCAGTCGTGTGAAAACGTTCTTCTCTTCCCCCCCCCCCCCTTTACAGTTTCCCTTACAGAAGGGGAACTCCAAAGCATTTTCGTCATATTGCGCTAAATGGCTTGAGATTTTACACGTCTGGTGTCATCTGAGGAACTGAAGGATTTCCTGGGCGTCGGAATCCCAACCAAGATCCCGATTTCCACTTTGCAAGTCAGCCTCGGACTAATGAGCCATGAAGAGCTGCATAAAACTAGACTCCATCAATTATACTTGAGAAAGAAATGCTATTTGCACGCGAACCGGATGCGCTGCTGGATCTGCAGAGATGGAATTGAGTCCCGAAATATTGCGAAAGATGATGATGAAAATCTATTAAATCGGTCCCCGCTTATTAAAACTATATCAATTATAGCGTCGATGCATTGCTGGAATAATTGACAATCCTGGAATTGGTTTTTTTTAAAAACGAAGAGTGGAAGCTTATCGTTTATAAATGAAACACACAGATATTAGGAAATCAATGGTTTATCTAAGATTAAATAATACTTTAAAAAAATTGTCTCCGTTGTATGTAGTCTAAATGTTTTGGAATGTTGGATCTAACCACTCCAAAATCTTTAAACCCCGGGAAGCAGCATTTTTTCATGCTGCCCATGGCATAGGAAAAGGCGAAAGAGAGGGCACGGGCGTTGTTTTCCTTTTGTCTTTGTCCGTGGGAATTAATTATTCCTGTGACAGATTGAGATTCCGATTATTTTTAACCTCCTCCTTAATTCTACCTAAAATGAAACTGAAGTTAGTTAAACCTTCCTTAGTTGAAATAAGGTTTTATGAGTTTTCGACTATTTCTTTCTTTCTTTCTTTCTTTCTTTCTTTCTTTCTTTCTTTCTTTCTTTCTTTCTTTCTTTCTTTCTTTCTTTCTCTTTCTTTTTTGCAGTTTTCAAAAAAAAAAGGAAAATAAACCTTCCACGGAACTAAATC